GGGGGGGGGGGGGGGTGAGGTCCGGTGACCGCAGTGGCCAATTATGTTGACCACCACGGCATATCCATCATTCAGGAGTCATTTTATTCAGGCACTGCGTCACGTGTTGCGAGCAACTCTTACATAATATACATCAAGCATTACATGTCTTGGCGTGGGAATCAAGCGGTGTCGTGTTAAAAGAGCCACATCCTCTTTCCGCTGTGATGTCAACGTGGCGACATCTCTGTTACGTTTTACTACTGAAGATGTAAAGAATATCCAACACTTGAGACTGGACACACGTGATTTTAAAATTTCCCTTCTTTATAGTTGACTTCACTTTGTCAGATAAGGGAGTTCTATGACCCTGGGACTTCTGAGTGTTAACATGGCTGTCTTCTGGGTTGTACCGTTGTGTAGTCTTGGAGAATTTTATCAAAGTTTTAGTGTATCTTGCTGCCGGGTTCATCATCCTGTTTATGGAGGCTGCAGGGGCCTCAGAAACGTTGGTAAAAGTCTACCAGACCACACAGCGCTACAATCCATGTTTGCTTATGTTGTGTGGGTATATTATTAAAGTAGAAAGGCCAATGTCTGGTTTTGGTGAGGCGAATATGTCATTTACACCCAACGGATGCCCCAATATAGATGTAATGTGTGACTGAAAGTAATTTTTTCATTGTTTAACGTCTGTAAAACTAAATTCACGGGCCAGCAGCCGCGTCACGTGGTTAAACTCTGCCGACGTTTCGAGGGCCGTCTCTGTCCCGTTTCAAGGCTAGTCATAAATTTTAATAAACATCTTTAAATAAATTGGCGCTGTAGAATTAACACTGATGTTAAAGCTGCGATATCATAATATTTGACAGAAAAGAGACCAAAATACATTACTTCTTACGAAAGACCATAATAACTAATATACGCTGAGCATAACCAACGCTTTACTGGTGCACTCCTATGTTCGATTCTATGTAAGTAATGAGGGTCCATCTTACTGGCTCTAATAAGTTTCCACTGAGTCATCAGACCAGCAGTTGATTGACGTAATCTATTTTAAATCTTAGAAACCCAAGATCGTCTAAATATTATTTAAGAATTCCCTCTGTACCGCGAAGGAAATATCACACTTCACCATTGCAAAATATCAAGTGGTTAATGCTTTTCAAGGAAAATCCTTGTTTATAGTGAGAATAATACAAAATATATTTATATAAAACGCAGAGTTGCTGATTTCTAAAGCAGCTGGTATAGTCGGCGCAGTAGATTTTGGCCAGTGGAATTTTCAAGGGGAAGGCTAGGAGCGAGTCACTTGTGCGATAGTATAATGCTGACTGCACCGAGGAGCTTATCGGACCGAACGCCCAAAGAAAAGAAATACACTGACCGTGCCACCTCAGGTACACAGACTAGGCCCGTCCGCCAGCTTCTCCACCGGCGAAAAACCACTGCGCCGACTATCTCTATACCTGCAGTTACTATTCGGTGTAAACTGACACTCGAATTCACAGTGGTTTAAAGATCAGTCGGTGACACAGGTGGCTTCAGTGACTTGTACAATGTCAATGTTGTCGTTTCGTGATGCTTTAGTTAAAGTATACTGTGAAGGGAGAGTTACTGACCTTATTCTTTCTTATCCCTTCGCCAAGTTCTATATTTCGTTCTTCGTGTGTCGAAGCTCTGCATTTATAGGATACTCATTCCAGTGATATTTTGTCTGAAGAGGGGAAGTGATACAAAAAGTTTGGATGCGCAGTGTACATCTGCGCATGTTGCTATGGCCGCTAGGGGTGTCGTGTGTTCAATATGCGTTCCCCTCCGCCTGCAGACTGGTTTATCCAGCTCCCCTACTGGTTCGTCTCTCGATTGGTGTGTATCCTGATATCGATTCTTGGGGGAGAGCTGAGCGGAAACGAAGGAAAACCATGGCAGTGAATTTTCTGAAACCATTGTTCAACAGGATGGCAGTTGGCTCTCCTGCGGGATGCCGGTTCGCGGGGGAGGTCATTGAAATTAAATTTGTGGTTGGAAAACACTGGATTGCGATGTGACGCCATGTTGAAGCCATCTGGGCTCCGTTAGGGTCAGAGTCTTGAGGGCGCAACAACTATACTCGGTGAGGGAATTGATGGAAGAGAATTAATTTTATACAGAACACTTTTTTTTTGTTTTACGTCGCTATGCTGAGTAAACACGAATCCGTGTTCATAATTTGCCCCTGTTCTTAAGTAGTGCGCAGTGATGGCGAATAGGGAACGTTAAAGGAGTACTCCACGCATTCCAGACATCGGAATTTAAGGCAAAACGTGGAGGTGAAGAGAAGAATATTTTCCGTGACCGGCTGTAACAGAAATTAATGAAGATTTCAGTTAGATTATCGGTATAATCGTTATAATTAATTTTCCTTTAGTTCGCAAGCAAGTCCAACTGTTCATTCTACAGAGCGAATATTTACAATTACAGTCGCTGCCACCAGGTGTCTCGTCAGTGGTGTTTTCGTTTTATAAATTTAAGTGTGGGATTTTTGGAATAGTGAAGCGTGGAAAGCTACTAAACCTATGAATATAATATTTTTATAAATTCCAATGACAGGAAACGCAATGGAAAGGCATTTAAGATGAACGTTTTTGGGGGTGGGGATATTTGGACCTTTTAGAAAAATATAAGGTTTGAACTGTAGATAATATAGCGTATATAAATGTGTTTGAAATGACAATTTTCTAGCTACTGATTTATCGAGATTAAACGTCCGCATGCGTCCGTGTAAATAACTTTGATACACTGCGTTTGGTGCAGGCACGCCGGCGTGTGACGTCACATGGAAGGCGAAATACGAAGAAGGGGAGGGGGGAGTCGCAAGTAGCTTATTTCCGTGCTGTTAATGCCATGTCAAAAACATTAGTCATTGTTTCGTGGACTCGCTGTTTATGCTGTGAATATTGTAACGAAACTAATATCGATGTTATGCTGTTTGGCTAATTCTTCTGCATGAACAGTTGTGGGTGGTTTGTCTATAACGTTGAATGTTCGTGACAGGTACAGCTAGAGTGAATGCGATGTAGGTCTGTTTGTAAGGTATATTTCCTCCAGAAATGTGAATTATACACCTGGATAGGAATAGTAACTATGGAAGTGTCCCGCTGTTCGTTATAGTCAAGATGCAAGTTTGACGTTTCGATAAATTGCAGCTTTTTGCCTTTGTCTTCCAGTATTCTTACCCTTGGTCTGTAATTAACCCTGATATATATTTACGAAACATTTTTGTTTATAACCTTGCCCTATTTGATTAATTTCTCACGGACCGGGAATGTAAATTGTACCGAAATAAAATATGAATAGCTAAAGTGCGTATTTCTGGGCTCAGTCCAAGACGAAATTGTCCAATAAACATTTTCGATAGTTTCTCGTTACTGACATGGGCATTTTAAGGCGACTGTTGGAACAGCGTAGGACGAATGGATTCAAGCAGTGACGTCATTCCGGCCAAAATCTTATGGCGTGGAGGTCGCTACTGCTGCATTACGTAGGGGAAGAAGGGGCACTTTGCCACAGAGGCATTGCAACATTTTTTTTGCACTTCATCAGCATAAGCATTAATATTTTAAAAATGTTATTATTCTTACATTTATATAAGTTAAGTATTAAGTACAATTATTTTGCCAGCCACATTGGTTTTCATAATTTTCGTATCTTCCATGCAGTTGGACTTCGTGACATGTTTATTGGACGTTTTCGAACAGATTTTGGCCCTCAAAAAAGATCATTCAGCTGTGGACATTTTATATATGCAGCTTTTGTTTTATATCTTGATTTTCTGTTCAGTCTTGTTCGTTTATTTTTCTCTGACTTTATATGGCAGCTAATTACTCTGATGGAAGCTGATTAAAATCGAGTTTCTCGGGTAGGGAGAGACAAGAAGTCCATTCATTGCAGGGCACAGTTAGGTAGCCTTTTTGAAACGGTCAAATTCTGAAGTATTCTTGTGCCTTATTTTGAACAGAATGATCAGAATGTTAAAGGTTCTGCTGTATTAATTGTCCACCACAATTACGTGATTACGTAATCATTTTTAACAGTGGGGTAATAGTGTTTTGGTTTTGGTTGAAGACGCTGTGGAACCTCAGACTTAGATGACGCCACGGGCAGTAGGACCATGGAAAAGTAAATCGTTAGAAGGAAGACTTATATTTAAGGTGTCACTTATCTGATGGAATGTATACCTCATAAGGAAGGCGTTCTAAAACCTTGATCCCTTTGCGGTCTCTGTCGGACTGAGTCCGACATTTAAATATCCGCGTTCCGGTCCGATGTCGGACTGAGTCCGACATTTAAATATCCGCGTTCCGGTCCGATGTCGGACTGAGTCCGACATTTAAATATCCGAGTTCCGGTCCGATGTCGGACTGAGTCCGACATTTAAATATCCGCGTTCCGGTCCGATGTCGGACTGAGTCCGACATTTAAATATCCGAGTTCCGGTCCGATGTCGGACTGAGTCCGCCAAGTTTATTAAGAATTTTGTTACGTGATCTGGAGTCAAACTGAGGCTGGCAAACTGTCAGCATATCATTCAAGCCTTCTTCTTTGCACTGGTTCTATCCTAGTTTTCCTACCTTATAATAGTGAAAGCAGGCAGGAGAGAAAAGTTGTCTTATTCTGACACGTGTCCAAAGAAGCCAGGACTCCACACCATAAATCATATAGTGAAGTAATATCGTGTGTGTTGCTGTCATATTTACTTAGAATAGAATATTTTATATGTGATAAAGTTATGAAACAGATATCACATCTTCCTACTAGGAAATTATATTTGTTTAATTATTTTTGGCGCATAGAGCAATCTACCTCTGACATGTGCATTTTCTTACGTCTTCTTATCAAGAGTTCTTTATGGGTAGTGACTTCATCGTTTACACTTAGCTTTCTGTTTCACTCTCCTGGTGTTGAATTTGGTCTTGAACTTTCGAAAACAATCAGGGCGACAGAAAGATACTAAGAAATCCAATGCTTATATACATCGCGTATCTGCATGCAATTAGAGATGTCTAGATGTCGCCAAAGTCACATCTACGGACTGGTCTCGCTTTGTTCTCAAACTGAGGACAGGAAGCAGAAAGGCACCAATTTCTACACATCTCATTACAGACAATGGTACTCTCCGTGAAAAATATTAAATACAGTCAGTATTTAAACAAAAGGAACTGTGAAACTCTGAGAACATTTTCACCATATTTAGCAAAGTTTCTTCCGGTTTATGCAAGTTATAAAAGAAAATCGAACTAGCTAGCAGCTGAATTTATGTAGCTTAATGGTACATAAATAGACCAGCAGAGACCCCTAGTGGTATTTGAAATGGACCGCAAAGGGTTAAGACTTGGGGCCACATTTGACTCACGCTCCACCGGGTTTTAACTTACAGTCTACAGGTTTATTGCAACTTCGTGAAAGTTTTTTTTAAGTGTTGGAATGTTCCAAGGGTGCCTGGCACTTAACGTTTATATAACTAAGAGTTTTGCCCACGGGGTGTATTTATGGGTTGCGTATGAATCAGAATTAGCATCTGTTATTTCCATAAACACCATCAATCAGTTGATCTTCGTAATAGAGACACTTTTGTTTTCTTTGAGGTAGGGCTAAAAATATTGCACACACTTCATGGTTCACGGATGTATTAAGAACCAATCATTCTTGCCTTATTGGTACACGTACGTCCATATTTGTTTTTTTGTTTTTTTACCATTTAATGGGATGTTCGTAGAATTGCGTGCGTTGCAGGAATTTAGGTACGTTTTACGACGATAGTCGAGGAGTCTGGAAAGGTCAAGTCGTTGAAGTCCGGATTGGTTTACAAATTGTTCAGGATAATTTCAGTTCCTGACCACTGCATTATTACAGTGATATTTGTATGTAGAGCAGTGGGTTAGGTAATGTTGCGGTTACCAAAATTAAATCGTTATTTGTTTTTTGTGAAATTGCTATTGAATTTAGTTTTCAAACATCATGAGCCCACAAAGTTCAACTATCTTCAGTAACCGCTTAGATTACGTCACTTGTTTGCAGGTAGGATGAAAATATACTATGCAAACCAAACACATAACCGATATTTACTTCATGGCCGTCTTTACCCCTAGGGATGGGCAATATCGGACAAGCTACTTCTTCAGTTGTCACTTCGGGAATATTATTATTATGATGAGCGCATTTCATACTAAATATTAAAGGAATATGCACTTCAATTGAAACTCTCCTAGGTTTATTTTCAAATTAAGTTGGGATTTTACATTTTATCTTCCGTTACCCATCGGCCACATTCTTATGTATGTTAATTGCAATTAGCCTACACAACCAGCTGTCTCAGACGATAAAAAGTGGAATCAGGTCGTAAAATCACTTAGCTCGAACTTATTTTTAAGATAGCTTGATCTGTTTATTTACTTCTCAATGCTACATCACGTGCAGAGTTTATGTGTGACGAATAGTATCACGATTGTGAATGTTGGCAATCATGAAGTATTGTTCTGAAACTTAAGAGAGAGTAAGGAAAACCACGAAACTGAGGCAGTGTTAGCCAATCCATGTCCAAGACTTGAAAACGGGCGTGTCTTTAAAATACGAGTGAAACTTACGTCCAGGTCGGATGACGATTTCACAGATAAAATAGTTCCACTGTTGCGTGTGTGTTAGTTTGAAGCCTCAGGGACACCAGGTGCTTACTTGGCGCATCGCGT